TTATTGTCTTGTGCTGAAAAATTGCACCTCGCTTTCAATTCTTGGCACAGACGTATCGATATAGTAGAGCTAGTTGTGCATGCATTTATTTATAATAAATAAAAATAAAAATTTATATTAAAATTTATTATATACACATACATATACACATACACATTATAACCTATTTGAACCTCCGTTGGACGCAACATTTACATAATTGTGTTATATTATTGCAATCACTGTCGCCCCCAATTTATTTATTGAAACTCGAAAATTAAAAGTTAGTAAAATCATCCCAGCCGCTATACATAACTAATACATAAGCCCTCATATACAAGCAGCTGCAGTGGTTAACTTTTTCGTTTTCCTTTTTCGCTTCGCTTGTCTGCCGTTAGCATCGTTGTAATTGTTGTTGGACTTTTGGTTTGGCGCGCTGAAGATCAAAGTGACGCGCTACCCTGCATTCGGACGGGTATACTGATTTTTGCCGTCATTTGCAACCACTGTTAATTTTGATACCTCGTGGCTCGATATTCAATTTAATATTTTTTTTTCGTCGTTTTCGTTGTGGATAATTATTAAAATAATTTTTTCGAACAAAATTAATAATTAAATTAAATTGTTATTTACTCTTAGTATTTATTTAACATTTTGTCGTCGTCCTAATTGAACAATTATCCTCTTTTAAAACTTATTTATTTTATTAATTATTATTCTTGGATAAATAATTTATTTATATATATATATTTATTTATTTTCGTGGTTTATATATAAAAAAATAAAAAATAAATTAAAATGAGTCCAGATAAGCCAAAATCTCTTGAACTTCTTGCGGATCTTAAAAATAAGCTCAAAAAACCAGTGATGAGCATCCGCCGATTAAATGATCGAATAGAAGCCGGCCAGATTCCGATCCAAGAAGTAGAACTAACTTGTCGGCTAGAGATTTTAAATGCTTCTATTATTAAGGCAACTCAAATACAAGAACAGATCGAAGATTTAGATGATGGCGATGAGTTCGCAGAAGAGTTGGAAGAGCTTTCAATAATAACCAAGGCAAAAATTATGTCGCTTATCTCAGCCTTGAAGACGGCAAGCGAAACCAAAATAATTGGATCAGCTTCTGTAGCCCTAACTCGAGCTCGACTTCCGAATTTGGCATTGCCGAAATTCAGCGGCAAATATTCGGAGTTTAAGAATTTCATTAGCCTTTTCGAAACTCTTGTTCATCAAGACGACAGCATTCCCGTCATAGAAAAATTCAATCACTTAATCTCTTGTCTTTCTGGTGAAGCTTTGGGAACTATTAAGGCCTACCAAGGCACCGAGAGCAATTATGAAAAGGCTATGATCAGCCTGAAAAAAGTGTATGATAACGAATGTTTAATTTTTATGAATAATATTTCAACATTGTTTAGTCTTCCGAAAATAACGCAACAGTCAGCTTCGTCTTTAAGAAATATTATCGACACCGTATCATCTATATACGGTTCTTTGTTATCGATAGGAGACGACACCAAGATTTCAAATGCAATGTTGATCTATCTTGTTTTGAACAGAGTAGACCCAGTGACCAAACAAAAATGGGAAGAACAATTAGATTATGAAAGGTTACCGCTTTGGTCCGATTTTGAAAAAATGTTAAACCGCCGATACCAGCACTTATCCGCTGAAGAATCGACGAAACCAAAGCAAGATAAAGTTATGTCGAGCAAGCCACATAATCGCAGCTCATTTTCTTGTTCTTCGTCCAACAGTAAATCCCAGCAAAGTTGTAGCTATTGCAATGCAGGAGACCATATCCTAGCGAACTGTGGTCCGTTTGGTCGCCTTTCGGTAATGCAAAGGTTTGACTTTGTAAAATCTGCTTCCTTAATTGTATGCGAAAGGGTCACACTGTTTCAAAATGCAAATTTAATAAATGTCGAGTTTGTGGCCGCTCGCATCACGTTTTACTGCATAGATATACAGTGTCCGAAAATAGTTTAGCGTTGCCACCACCCCAAGAGATTCTTTCTCCCTCTTTAAATTAAGATCAGCCTTCCACGTCACATGTAATGCATGCGACATCATTGGACAGAGTGATTTTAGCCACGTCGATCGTAAGTGTAAGAACTAAAAACGGTGAATATATTTGGGCCCGAGCACTTCTTGACTCTGGGTCCCAAACGAATTTTATAGCAGAGGACCTTGCTCACCGCTTACAGATCCGTAAAGAGGAGTCGTGTATAAACTTACTTGGTATTGGGGAGTCCATTTCTCAAGTTAAGAAAAAGGTACACACAATGGTGAAGTCACGTATAAATGGTAGTGAGTTCTCCTTCGATTTTTGGATTTAGAAATCAATAACAGGATATCATCCTGACCAGTCGGTCAATATCAATGACTGTGAAATTCCAAAGAACCTACCACTAGCAGACCCCTATTTCTACAAGCCACAAAGAATAGATATGTTAATAGGAGCAGAATCATTTTTCGAATTATTAGCTGTTGGACAAATTAGACAAGGTTCTGACTTTCCAACTCTGCAGAAAACCCTCTTCGGCTAGGTTGTATCGGGTAGATATAAGGCATCTTCCCCTACAGAAGTTGTGAAAAGTTTCAGTTGTAGTGAAGAGATTTTAGTGTCTAGTGACAGCACCCTACAGAAGTTTTGGTCACTGGAACAAATGCCATCTCTAAAGAAAATTCTGTCACCTGAGCAAAAGTTATGTGAAGAACACTACCGGAAGACTACTCAGGTTTTGCCATCAGGTCGGTTTGAAGTAAGACTGCCGTTTAAATCGGATCCAAATGAGTTAGGCAACTCTTTTGAAGTTGCAAAAAGGCGGTTTTTGTCGCTTGAAAGAAGGCTGTCTCGAGACCCTGAGATGAAGGAAATGTACCTAGAATTTATGGAGGAGTACCTTTCCTTAGGTCATATGTCTCTTACAGATAAACTTCCTTCTGCTCCACATTATGTTATCCCACATCAATGTGTTCTGAGACCCCAAAGTACGTCAACCAAGTTACGTGTCGTTTTCGATGCGTCTTGTAAATCGTCAACTCAGAAGTCTCTAAATGACATTTTGATGGTTGGGCCGACAATCCAAGATGAGTTGTACTCAACGTTACTGCGCTTCCGGCTGCATAGGTTTGCCCTGACCGCCGATGTAAAGAAAATGTATCGCCAAATGATGGTGAATGAAGCAGATATGCAGTTTCAACTTATAGTGTGGAGAAGAGACCCCTCTGAGTCCTTGAGATTATACAAGCTCAACACCGTAACATATGGTACTGGACCAGCCCCGTTTTTGGCTATTCGGTGTTTAAAAAGGTTAAGTGAGTCTGCCAAAGTTTCCTTTCCTAGAGCTGCTAAGGTTATTGGATCCGACTTTTATGTCGATGATATGTTGACTGGTGCTGCATGCGTAGAGGAGTTAAAGACTATTATGTCTGATGTATCTCAGGTTCTTCAAACTGCAGGTTTTGAATTGACAAAGTGGTTTTCAAACTCACCTGACGTTACCGCATCTGAGAGCACAGTTAAATCCATACCCATCTCGGACTCAGAGTCAACTAAGGCGTTAGGAATATCGTGGTTGCCTAACGAAGATGCCTTCAAATTTCAAATTGACACTGCTGTCATGGATCTCCGAGCGACAAAACGGAACATACTATCGGTGACATCGAAGCTGTTTGACCCCTCGGCTTATTAAGTCCTATTGTAATTAGAGGAAAGATCCTATTGCAGGAACTTTGGCTTAATAAGTTAGATTGGCATGAGTCGATTCCTATTCATTTGGAAACAGCTTGGAATATGATAAAAATTACATTGTCTAAATTAGAGGAAATATCTATTCCCCGGTTTGTGCATACCGATCCGATGTCACCGGTCCAATTACATGCCTTTGCTGACGCATCCTTAAGAGCTTATGGAGCTTGCGTCTACATTCGTAGCAAAACTGCAGAAGGTTATAAAATATCGCTGTTGACTTCAAAGTCTAAAGTAGCGCCGCTCAAGACTAAAACACTCCCAAGGCTTGAGTTATGTGCCGCTCACCTTCTCGCAGATCTCTGCCACAGAATCAAGACCCTATTAAAGGTACCTATCAAACGGATTGTTTATTGGTCGGATTCTGAAGTTACGCTTCATTGGATCCGGTCTCCTCCATCTTCATTATCCACATTCGTATCGAATAGAGTAGCGGAGATTCAAGAGTGGTCAGGTGAAGCTACGTGGCGGCATGTTCCAACGAAACAAAACCCAGCAGATATTGTATCAGGAGGTTGTGACGTCGACGAAATTATACACTCAACATGGTTTACTGGACCTGCGTTTTTAAAAGAGGAAGATGCAAACTGGCCCCAGAATGCACACTTTGAACTAGATGAAGAAGTCCTACTACAAGAATCGAGGAAGACTGCGGTCGGACTGACCGCTGCTGTAAGAAATTTGGATTTGGTAGATGTCATCGAGGGATTTTCGTCACACCTTAAACTGCTTCGGGTATTCGTTTATATGTTCCGCTTCATAAGAAAATGCAAAGACAAAAGTATGGTATTTGAAAAAACTTTGTCGCCGACTGAATATAATGAAGCTTTTCTAAAAATTGTCAAGATATTACAGAAGCACGAGTATCATGAAGAAAGAGAAAAAGTTCGTAAAGGATCCAGAGTTGGCCCAAGTCTTCAGCGATTGAATCCATTCATCCATGAAGACAAGGGGACTTGGTGTCACTTTTCTTTGTTGCGAGTTGGGGGGCGACTAGCTAATGCTCCTATATCATACGATGCCAAGTTTCCATTGTTGTTGACAAAACGCTCCCAATTTGTGCAGAGCTATGTTCGGCATCTACACCATTCCAATTTTCATGTTGGTCCACGAGCCCTTGTGAGTCTCCTTCGACAGCGTATTTGGATCGTAAACGCTCAGGAGGTCTGTATCCATTTCCTGGCTGGGATTTATGTATAAAACCGTACAAATAAAATTGAGTAATTACTGTAGTTGTATGGAAATCATGGGTAATCTTAGTCAGTTCAGGGCTCGTCCTCCGCCTCGTCAGCCTCCTCCTCGTTCTCCGTGAGAATGGTGCGGATCTTCATGAGCAGCTCCTTCTTAACGGCGTCCGGAACAAGGGTGCGGGCTTTTGGCGTCACCTCCGTGATGAGCTGCTCCACGGTGAAGCTGTTGTTGGTACCCTTCTCCAACAGAATAGTGCGGCACATCAGGCGCACCTCGTCCCGCCAGCCGCACTCCGTCAGCCGACTGCACAGCAGGTCCTTGATCTTGGAACGGTCCCCCGTCAGCACCGTGTATTGGTCCACTGCGGCGGAAACGGTCATTCTGGATGAGACCGGCAAAAGGGATTGGGTTCTAATGCTACAAATTACTTCTCTCGGGGCGTCTTCTTCTTCTTCTGCAGTCAGATAGTTCGATCATGCATACGCTGCTTTAAGTGTAAGCCTCGACTAATGACACAAATTATGGGAAATTTACCTGCAGATCGTCTCCGTGCTCTCCGCCCATTTGCTATATGTGGCGTCGATTTTTGTGGCCCTGTCTATACGACATTGAAAATTCGAGGTAGGCCTCCGTATAAGTCCTACAATGCGCTCTTCGTTTGTTTTGCGTCCAAAGCGGTTCATCTAGAAGTTGATTCAGATTTAACCACAGATTCCTTTTTATTGGCTTTTCAAAGGTTCATTGGGCGCCGAGGATGTCCCCAAGTCGTCCATTGCGACAACGGGACGAACTTCGTCGGAGCGAGTCGCCACTTCCGGGCCCTTCGAGAGAGGATAGAGGACGAAGCCGACGCGATACGCGAATTCGCATCAAAAAGCGGATGCGAATTTGTCTTCACACCACCGCGGGCTCCGCACATGGGCGGACTATGGGAGGCAGGTGTCAAAACTGCCAAGAACCTACTCCTACGGGCGGTGGGCAGCGCGCTCCTAAGCGCAGAAGAGCTGGGGACAGTCCTCGTGGGAATCGAGGCGGTGATGAACTCCCGGCCGCTCGGAGCAATCAGCAGCGACCCAAGCGACGGAGAGGCACTGACACCCGGGCACCTACTGACAGGCGGGCCGCTACTCGCCACACCAGCACTCTGGACCCCGGACCAGGAGGGTCTCAACTGCTTGCGGCGATGGCGGCTTGTCTCGTCAGTCAGGCAAATGTTCTGGCGGCGATGGTCCCGGGAATATGTCCTGGGCCTCCAAATACGGGGCAAGTGGCACCAGCAGCAGCCCAACATCAGCGAGGGAGATCTCGTCCTCGTGGCCGAGGACAACCTGCCGCCCCAACAATGGCTCCTCGGCAGAATAGTAGCCAGGCACGCAGGGGAGGACGGCATGGTCAGGGTCGTCGACGTGCGGACTAGTGGAGGAGGCCTTTTCCGGCGGGCCATTCATAAGTTGGCGCCGCTTCCATTGTGTTGAAGCCCGATGGGTGTTCAACGGGGCCGGTGTTCGCTCAAACTTGAATCATATTGAATTTGTTAAAAATAAAAACTTGAAGTTTAGTGTAAGTTAGTTTAGGGCGAAGGCGGGAGCACAATAAAGTTTTCTCTCGCTCTCGGCGAAGTCGCCCCGTCTTCGCCAACCTTCGTTAAGCTAGGCTCTAAGTACTTTGTCGAAAAATATATAAGCATTCGTTGAAATTGATTTGAGCTGTCGACACCTTTTCTTTTCGTTTTCGTTTCTCGCTATTAATAATTTTAGCCACCGCCAAGTTTTTTCGGTAATTAATAATTAGAAAATTCTCTAATTTTTCAACAATCAATTGTATAACTTTAAAAAAAACACTATTATACATAATACAATTTATATTTAAAAACAACAAACAAAATAATAGTTTAAAGCTTATTAATTTACAGCTTTAAGTAAACCATGTTCAACTGTGAAATAAGTGACTTTTGTGTATTATTAAGAAATGTTTAAATATTTTTATATCCTTGCAGAGGGTATTCTCATTTCAGTGAAAAGTTTGCAACGCAGTGAAGGAGACATTTCCGCCCCTATAAAGTATTCTTGATCAGCATCGCCAGGAGAGCCGATCTAGCCGTGTCCGTCTGTCCGTCTGTCCGTCCGACCGTCTACGTTTCTACGCAAACTAGTCCCATAGTTTTAAACTATCTTCTTGAAACTTTCCCAAAAGTTGTCTTTCTTTTGACGGTAGTATAAAAGTCGCAACGAGCCGGATCGGGCGACTATATCATGTAGCTCCCATAGAAAAAATCGGAAAAAAACAATTCAAAAAAATTATAACTTTGTTGTTTTTAATTTTTTTTTGTTTGAGATTTGGTAATGTTTAAATATTATGGAATTACGGTTTTAATTAAATTGAAGACGGACAAAAATATCATATAGCTGCAATAGAAACGATGGGAAAATGCAGCATAGAAATCGAAATGTAGTCGATTTGTAATAACTGCATAACTGCATATATAAACTTCGGCTTGCCGAAGAAAGAAATTTTTGGTTTCCAATTAAATAAAAAACTTTTTTTAAGTAAATGAAGAGGAAAATATTTAAATTTAGTGGAGTACCACATTTTAGGTAAGGCTTGCACGGTTGTAGTCTCACAGAGCAGAAAAGATGAGTAATTGGTAAAGCCCTTAAAAGGCCAATAATACCGGGGTGTATTATACACTTTTTCTTTTTTATTTTGAAATGAATATATCTATAAATCTATGACAAAACTGTTCTTCGGTTTATCATTTAATCTCAAGTCTCCCTTATCGAGTTGCATACAGATGATTCTTATCCTTGTACTGATTTCGTTATGGCTTAAGCAGTGAAACAAACCTTGGTAAGACACATTTCGAACTACCTTTGCTTCTGAGTATGACTCAACGAATTCGGTATTCTACTATACCTTTCTGCTGATATACTCTGCATTTTTTTTCTCTGCAGAAAGGTATTATTCTGCTCATATACTTTGTTTGTTTTTGTTTTCGGTATAATTCCTTTCTGCTCATATGCACTCGTTGTTTTTTCCTGTATTATAACTGGCCCATCATTCGCTGCTGCCAGAAATTTGTTTGTCAATCATTAAAGTTGGCATGGAACACCCTCGCCTCTTTCAATGTTGCTAGGCCGCTGTCTTGCATCTGAATCCATTTTAAGAATCCCCAAATTTCACACTTTTTCGGAAATCTGCTGAAAGTGGTGGTTTCAAGAGTCTCAGGATTAAAATTTCCATTTTCAGCTCTTTCTTACGACTTTTCTGTTTACCCTACAAATTTCCGCATGTGCTCATGGTGAAAGTCGTGATTTAAAAGACCGGTTTTGAGCAGCAATAACGCTAACGAAACCCCGAGGGCCTTACCAGTAATGGAACCGCCTCCTAAAGACTTACCTAATGTGTGTATTAGCCGCTAACGTTATCTGCGGCTTTTAACCCTTCCTCTCTCGAGTTTTTCAATTTTGTGCGTTTTGCGACTTAATCTGGTGGCAGAACGAGGTACTGAGAGAGCGATCGCACTTGGTGGTGAACTGGGAGGACTCCGACTGGAGTTGGCGACAATGAACGGCGGGGTTTGTCTACTCCGGGTGGACTCGGAATCTACGGGGGTCCTACACTCCGGATATTCTCGGAGACTACGAGGATTCTACACTCCGGATATTCTCGGAGCCTACTAGGGTACTACACTCCGGTTATTCTCGGAGTCTATGAGGTGTCTACGCTCCGGATATTCTCGAAGCCTACGTGGTACTACACTCCGGTTATTCTCGGAGCCTACGAGGGTACCACACTGCGGTACTACACTCCGGCTATTCTCGGACGCCCTCTGGTGGCAGAACGAGGTACTGAGAGAGCGATCGCACTGCTTGATGGTGAACTGGGATGAGTCCGACTGGAGTTGGCTACGGGGACGGCGGGGTTTATCTACTCCGGGTGGACTCGGAATCTACGGGTGTCCAACACTCCGGATATTCTCGGAGACTACGAGGATTCTACACTCCGGATATTCTCGGATTCTACGAGGTTTCTACCCTCCGGATATTCTATGAGACTACGAGGATTCTACACTCCGGTTATTCTCGGAGTCAACGAGGTGTCTACGCTCCGGATACTCTTGGAGTCTACGAGGGTACTACACTCCGGATATTCTCGGAGTCTACGGGATTTCTACGCTCCGTATATTCTCGGAGACTACGATTGTTCTACAAGGATTCTAAGGTGGGAGCCCTCGGCCGAGATGCGCCGCGCGAGGTTAGGAGTCAGAGATCGAACTTCCGTCGAGCATTGCGCTCGTTGAACCTGTTCCCCGCTATCGATTGTGCTATCGATCTCGGGCCTCACGAGTGCGATAAGTGTGTGTCTTGGCTCAAAATTAATACTAGTTTAATTAATTTCCTTAGTTTCTATTATTTCGGACTTCATGTCCGATCTTAAAGCTAATAACAAAACTTATTACTACGATTACAATGGTTATAATAACTAAATATGGTTTGTGCGCCCTCAATTTAGGGCGTGACATTTCCTGGGCCGTTCGGCTTCAGGGTGACCTGGTAGGAACCTTCCTCGGACGGGACCCTCAAGCGCTGTCGTGCCATGCGGGCTGAAAGGCGTCGTGTGCAGATGACTTGCCAGACTGCGGCCGAGACTTGGCCGTCCGCAGTGTTGCATGTCCACCCAGCCGGAAGCTGATAGCGCTCGCCACCGGAGGGTGAGCTGCTTTCGGGGGCTAGGCAACCCTCGTTTGGAGCTCTCGCTTCGGACTGTGGGTTGGCGACTTCGCCCGTGTCTCACCCGGACTCCCACCATAGGTGTTCCATTTCCGGGGAGATTTGCCCCAACAGGAGTTGGGTCCGTCCGATGGGCTGGATGTTGGTGTTGTTTGGGGATGCGCGTCGTGCGCAACTACCTCCGCGTCTGATCCCCGTCCGCTAAAGGTGGGTACGGGTGTAGGCTCCTTCCGTCTAAAACGCTGCTCGGTGTTCTCCTCGTCGTCGCTGGGTTCCGACTCCCACTCCATCGCTTTGCCCGTAGGGTAGCGAGGGGGATAGGGCTCATCCTGCGTGGTGGATGTCCCAAGGGAGAGTGTCGTGGACAGCATCGGTGCCATCTCTTCGTCCTGCGTGCAGGTGAGGTCGACGGGGCGTTCCGTCTTGACTCCTAGGTCCTCGGCAACCTTGCGTTCTTCGGGCCCCGATGTACAGGCGTACGGGGGACGGCGGGTAGAGACTCCTCCGGCTCGAGCGTGTGTCGACGTCGGCTCGTCCTCTGAGTCGCTGCCCGGCAGGGTGATGTCCTAGCGCTGGAATCTGGAGAGAGTGAGGTCGCTCTTCCAGACCCTCTTGGCTGGCGCCTCCCGTCGGGCATGACCGGGTGGATCTCTCGGCGTACGCCGTTCCCGGACGTAGACGAGGATCCCGTGTGGTCGTTGACTGGCCGTTAAATA